GAACTGAACTGAACTGAATTCTTAGGTACTTTATATTTTTGTTTCTCTTATAAAAAAATCAAATTTTTAAAATTATAATTTCTAACCAGCTCTTCCTGTTGTATAGAATACACTTTACATTTGACTGTTGGTTTTTGCATTCAGCAATATTGCTAAATTATGATTATTTATGTATTCTCTTGGAATTAAAAAAAATCAGATTACCCACAAATGATGATGATTTTGTTTTTCTTTCTTATAAGTATGCCTTCTACTCCTTTTATTCTTATTGCATGTCTAGAACATCAAATACAATCTTTTTTAGAAGGGTGATAGCAGGGCTTCTTATTTTATTCACCATCTCAAAAGGAAGACTCTCATCATTTCACTATTTTGCATAATATTTGTTACAGGTTATGAGTTAAACTTTACCTGATTAAGGAAGGTCTTTTTTATTCCAAGCTGGCTGTAATTCTTTTTATGACTTGCTGTTAAATATTCAGTGTTTTTCTGCTTCCACATAAACATTTGTATAGTTTTTCTCTTTTTACTGTGTAAATCTGATAGATAATAGTTGTTAATATTTCCATATTAATAAACTTGTATTTCTAGAATAAGCCAACTTGGTCTTGATGAATTATCTTTCATATACATTTATAGATTCCATTTACTAATGTTATTTAGGTTTTTATGTGTGTGAATATACATGAGTGGGAGTGGCCTGTGGTTTTACACCCCTTGTATATCCTTTAATACGTCTGATGCCAAGACTATACTAGACTCATCATGTAAGTTAGGATTAGTCTTTCTTTTCTATTCTCTTCCCTTGTGGCTCAGCTGGTAAAGAATCTGCCTGCAGTGCAGAAGACCTGGGTTTGATCCCTGGGTTTGGAAGATCCCTGGAGAAGAGAAAGGCTACCCACTGCAATATTCTGGCCTGGAGAATTCCACAGACTGTATAGTCCGTGGGGCTGCAAAGAGTCGGACACAACTGAACAACTTTCACTTTACTTCTATTCCCTGAGAGATTTTATTTAATATTGGAAATATATGTTCCTTGAATATTTGATGGTAACTTGCATAGAAATCTATCTGGATCTGGATTATTTGAGTGTGTGGGGGAAGATTTTATAACTATTAACTCAAATTCTTTAATAGTTAGAATGCTACCTTTGGAGAATTAGAACTTTGGGGTTCTAATTCTTGTAAAATTCATTACTGTAGTATTTTTCCAGAAATTCTTCCATGTCTTCAGTTAGCAATGTTAGTATCAATTTTTATGCCATAAACTTTCCCATAACATCCTCTTATATTTTTGTTTAATCTCTGCAGTAGTTGTAGGTCTGCCACTCTTTTATCATTTCTAATATTTTTATTTGTGCCTTCCTTTTGTTTTCTTATTTTTCTTCCTAGAGATATTTTTATTTTATTAGTCCTTTCAAAGAACTATATTTTGACTTTATTGAGTTTTTCTACTGTTGTCTATTTTATCTCAATTTGTTTTTTTATATTATTTCTTTTTTTGAGTTTGTTTTTCTGAAACTTACTAAATTGGTTATTTAGTCTATTACATAGATTTAAGACTTCCTTTTTTTCAAGTGTGTGTTTAAGGAAATAAAATTTCTCCTAAATACCTCTATATTGAAATATCTCATAATTGTAATATTTCGTCACTGCTCGGAAATAATAGTCTAAGAGCCACTATAATTTGTTTGGCAGATGAGTTGTATAGGAATGTATTTTTAATTTACAGACATGAGTCTTTTAAATTATTATTTTGTTATTGAATTCTAACCTAATTTTATTGTTATCACAGAAGTGTTAGAATCAAATCTTTGCCCTAGCATGTAGTCAGATTTTATAAATGTCTCACAAGTACCTAAAGAAAATGTATTTTCCTATTGTTGGATGTCATATGCTATTTATGCCCAGTAGGTCAGTTAAGTGTACTGTCAAATCTTCTGTACTTATTTGACTCATTATTGAGTTGATATTGGCTAAAATTTCCCACTATGGTGATAGACATGACACTTTTGCATGTAGGTGCCTAATTTTTTGCTTTATACTTTGAGGGTATCTTTTAGGTGCACATAACTCTGAATTATTAAGATTTTTTTGAAGAATTGAAACTTTGTAGTGACCTTGTTTATCACTTGTAATGCTTTTCTCCTTTTGTTTGGTTTTATGTTATATTAATACAAAATCTCTTGTGGTGCCACATAAGTTCTAGGATTATTTGTTCCAGTTCTGTGGAAAAAAAAATATCGTGGATATTTTGATAGGGATTGCACTAAATCTGTAGGTTGCTTTGGGTAGTATAACCATTTTAACAATTTAAAAATTAACAATTAAGTTAACAATTAACTCTTCCCCTCCAAGAAGATGGGATCTTTCCATTCCTTTAAATTATCTTCAGTTTACTTTATCAAGGTTTTATAGTTTCCAGTGTATAGATCTTTCACCTCCTTGGTTAAGTTTATTCCTTTTTTTTTTTGGATGAGATTTTCAATAGGATTGTTTTTTTTTAGTTTTCTCTTTCTGATATTTCATTGTTAATCTAAAAATGCAACGGATTTCTGTATATTAATCTTTTTATTCAGCTAGCTTATTGAATTCCTTTATTAGTTCTAATAGTTTTCGTGTGGAGACTTTAGGGTCCTTTAAATAGAGTATCATGTCATCTGCAAATAGTTTTACCTCTTTCCTTCCAATTTGAATAACTTTTGTTTATTTCTCTTGTCTAATTGCTGTGAAGCTGTCTTATAATTCTTCACTTCCAAAATCTTCCTTATATTTTCAGTCTCTTTTTTGAACTACTCATTTTGTTATTATACTGTTTTTCTAATTTCATTAAATTGTTTGTTGTTGTTGTTGTTCTCTCATAGCTCTCTGAGCATCTTTAGAACCATATTTTGAATTTTTTCTCAGGCTATTCATGTAATCCGTTTCCTTAGGATTCATTGCTTGAGTTTACTGTGTTCCCTTAGTGGTGCCATGTTTCCCTGATTCTTCACGGTCCTTGTCGCCTGTGTAGGTATCTGCGCATTTGAAGAAGCAGTCACCACTTCCAGACATCATAGACTGACCTCACTAAGAAAAGACCTCCACCTGTGGTTGTGCATGTTGGAGCATGCTGTGACCACCTGTCTAGTGGTATGGGGTGTCATGTGCAGGGGCATGTGCTGGCTCTGGATCCGGTGGGGTACAATGTCTCATCAGCTCAGCCCACTAAGGTCCAGAACATTGACAGTTGCATGGTGTTTACCAAATGCTGCAGGGTGTCCACAGTGACTGCAAGGGCTATCATAGTCCTCAGCAGTGCCTCCAGGTACAGTAGGTAGGGACCAGAGCAGGCAGTAGTGGTGGCCCAAGCCAGGACTCTGTGCATCCTCAGCTTCAGGGGTTAGTTTTAGGTGCCTGTGTGCTGACAGGGGATGTTTTTTTACAAACTTCATACTTTTTGAACTTTGGACATATCCACCTATCAAGATTTTTAGTACTTGGTTTGAGTAGCTTTCTCCTATATCAGATTGAACATATGAAATGTTATTTTCATCATATGGTCTTAGGAACTTACTGCATGTACACTTACGATTCTCAAGACATCTTCATTTTATTTTGTACTTAATAATGTACTAAGCACTATGCACAAAAGGAAACACAATCCTGAGTCATTGATTTTTAGGGATTATGTGATTTTAAAAATAACAGCTATCTTTAAAGTGAAAAATTACTTTCTAAAAAACATATAAGTAAACATACAAGTAAATTTGCTTCTTTCAGAAAATTTACACTGAAGGGCCATAGATGAAACATTTGGAATGCTAACTAATAAATTTTGTCTTGACATAAATTAAAACATGTAAACTCTATAGACTTTTTTTTTTTTTTAGCTATGTCACATGGCATGCAGGATCTTAGTTCCTGGATCACGGATTGAACCTGTGCCCCCTGTAGTGGAAACAGGGAGTCTTAACCACTGGGCCATCAGGGAAGTCCCTAAACTATGGACTTTTTAATGTGCATTGATCATGTCAAATTAGCTTACAGTATTATTTGGGAAGAAGTATATAGATTCATGCCCCTCAACGAAAATTATATTTAATTATGGACATGAGCTTTTAAAAAAAAATTAGCATTTAATCATTTATGTGTCCATAATGGAATATAAGGGCTTCCCAGGTGGCTTAGTGAGTGAAGAACCCACCTGCCATTGCAGGAGATGTAACAGACACAGGTTAGATCCCTGGATTGGGAAGAGCCCCTGGAGGAGGGCATGGCAACCCACTCCAGTATTCTTGCCTGGAGAATCCCATGGAGAGAGGAACCTGGCAGGCTTCAGTCCACAGGGTCACAAAGAGCTGGACACAACTGAAGTGACTTACACACAGTGGAATATAGACAGAATATTCTTACTCTTTGGGAGAAAAGTTATGACCAACCTAGACAGCATATTAAAAAGTAGAGACGTTACTTTGCCAACAAAGGTCCGTCTAGTCAAGGCTATGGTTTTTCCAATAGTCATGTTTGGATGTGAGAGTTGGACTACAAAGAAAGCTGAGTGCCAAAGAATTGATGCTTTTGAACTGTGGTGTTGGAGAAGACTCTTGAGAGTCCCTTGGACTGCATGGGGATCCAACCAGTCCATCCTAAAGGAGATCAGTCCTGGGTATTCACTGGAAGGACTGATGTTGAAGCTGAAACTCCAATACTTTGGCCACCTGATGTGAAGAGCTGGCTCATTTGAAAAGATCCTGATGCTGGGAAAGATTGAAGGAGGGAGGAGAAGGGGACGACAGAGGATGAGATGGTTGGGTGGTATCGCTGACTCAATGGACATGAGTTTGAGTAAACTCTGGGAGTTGGTGATGGACAGGGAGGCCTGGTATGCCACACTCCATGGGGTCACAAAGAGTCGGACACAACTAAGCAACTGAACTGAACTGATGTTGAAAGTAGATTATTTAACTGAATATTTATGATGCTGTTTACTGAAATATGATTTCTCTTTTTCCCAACAGAAATTTTGTTCACAATTTAACCCAGGTAAAACTTTTTTAAGGTTTTGTATACTTCTTCACATATTACCACTATATTATTTCTCTCTTCCATATTCCTTCCAGAAAAGGAATTTTCAAAACTAATTCTCAACAAAATTTACTTAGAGCAGAGGTCACTCAAGGTATGGACTAAGATCCCCTAGGTCTTCACAGGCCTTTTGAGGAGGTCCATGAGGTCTACATTTTTCCAACTATATATCTGTCTGAATATCAGACCCCCCCATATACTTCCACCAGAATACCATATACCAACAGCTTGAATGTAGAAGCACTGATGATAATCCATCTGTCTCTTATTAAGCCAAATATTAAAGAGATTTTACAATGTAAAACAACCATTCTTCTTACTATTCTTTATCTTGGAAAATAATTATTTTTTTCATAAACATGTTGCCGTTTCCTACTCCAGGGGATCTTCCTGACTCAGGGATCAAACCCATGTCTCCTGTGTCTCCTGCACTGGCAGGCAGGTTCTTTACCACTAAGCCACAGAGGAAGTCCCCATAAACATGTTAGTTAATATTAATATATAATGGGTTTATTGTAGATGTTAAAATAAATTAATAAATATCCTTAAATAGTCTCAATTTTAATTTGTTATATGGTAATAAATATTGATAGGGCTAACTGACATAAAACAAAAACTCTGTGAGATTCTCAATAATTTTCAAGCCTATGAAGGAATCTTTGAGATCTAAAAATTTTGACATGTGGGTTAGAGGCTGATTTTAAGTATGACAGAGATATGTATTCCAAAATTTGAAAACTGAAATAAGGTGGTAATATTTGGATGTTAAAGCTCCATAAATATTTTCATTTTTTCAAAGCAATGATATAATGGAAAGAAGAGGCAGAAAAATAATAATAATAATAATAAATAAAACTTCCTGTATTCAATCAAGATAGTTGAATGAGCTCATGTGTCCGTATGTATCCCTATCCCAATTCCAACTGATATTATAGGATTATTTACTAAAGCTATAACAATGCAAAAAGAAGAAAGTATTATCAGTAGATAAGGGATTTTAAGATAGAAAATAGAAACTTCTAAAAGTAAAATTTTTATTATAGACCCAAATAATGCAGAATAGCCTCCATCTTACTCAAAACATATAGAAACGCCTTTACAAAATATGTGTGTGCATAATATCAGTGCAGATTTTTACATTAATATTGGTATATGTGCGTGTATAGAATGTAAAAGCAATTAAAGGAATTTCCTAGTTGTCACAAGTCACTAAAGAACTAAAATCCAGAGTTAGATAAGGTTGAATTCTGAAGTAAGGTTATTATACAAAATATAAGCCCTGGTAGACAAAGGGTGATGTTTTAACATGTGTATGAGAATAGAAAATGAAGTTTCCAACATATGGGAGAATGAGATGCTGAAATTAACCTCCTTACATGAAGCTAGGATTTATTAAATATCTGTAAAATGAAAACTAGTAAAGCTCCACTCTCTGGATAATTGCAAATAAACGATGATACACCCTTCACAGAGTTTCAGATGGATGTCCAAGTTAAACTGCTCTTAAGAGGTTGGAGAACCTAGAGCCAAGTAGTAAACTCAAAAATGCAAGTAGTGAAACACATAGGGCCTAGGCAGAAGTGATTATAAAATTCATTTCATAACCAAGAGTGTCTAAGACTCTCTTAGAAAACAAACCCTCTGAAAATAATCTCAAAATAAAAGATCCCTGGGTTGGGAAGATCCCCTGGAGAAGGGAAAGGCTACCCACTCCAGTATTCTGGCCTGGAGGATTCCATGGACTGTATAGTCCATGGGTCGCAAAGAGTGGGACATGACTGAGTGACTTTCACTTTCACTTACAGAGTTTTCTCCACAATTGAAGACATGAGTTCTCAGACTGAAAAACTGAAGTACCAGATGCAGTAAATAATGAGCAAATGAACTATTTAATATGCTAATACATCTAAATAAGCATTGACAGTCAAATATTTAAATAATGACTAATTTTTTAACAAAATGAAATTAAAATAGTAGCTAACAAAAATAGAAAATGAAGGAGAATTTGGGTTTGCAACATCATATCCTTATACATATTCAAGATGAGGATACTGATTAGCTTATATTAAATATGCCAGGAAAAAATTTAGGAACATTTATTGAAGTAATAGAAACAAGTCCATAATTTTTAAAAAGTAGAGTTCTGGAAGAAGAATTTTTAAAATGCTAACAATTCAATAGGAGATAATAAAAAAGAAAAATTAAAACAGAATATCGAGACACAAAAATAAGATTTAAGAAATAATTTAAATGAATTCAGTAATCAAATGTGAATGGATTAAAATCATCTACTGAATGACAGAAATCCCATAAATCTGATGTGTATAAAGTTATATAGTTAAAGATTAACACAACTAGGGTGCCCATTCTTGCCACTGTTATTAAACATAATTTTGGAAGTCCTAGCCGCAGCAATCAGAGAAGAAAAAGAAATAAAAGAAATCCAGATAGGAAAAGAAGAAGTAAAATTCTCACTGTTTGCAGATGACATGATTCTCTACATAGAAAACCTTAAAGATGCAGAAAATTACTAGAGCTAATCAATGAATATAGTAAAGTCACAGGACATAAAATTAGTACACAGAAATCCCTTGCATTCCTATACATTAATGATGAAATATCAGAAAGAGAAATGAAGGGAACAATCCCATTCACCATTACAACAGAGGGATGGGATGGGGAGGGAAGTGGGAGGGGGGTTCAGGATGGGGAACACATGTAAATCCATGGCTGGTTCATATCAATGTATGGCAAAAATCACTACAATATTGTAAAGTAATTAGCCTCCAACTAATATAAATAAATTTAAAAAAGGAATAAAATACTTAGGAATAAATTTACCTAAAGAAACAAAAGACCTGTATACAAAAAACTATAAGATCCTGATGAATGATATCATCTTTTTAAGATGTCTGTTAAAGATAACACAGATAGAGATATATACCATGTTATTGGATTGGAAGAATCAATACAGTGAAAATGAGTATACTACCCAAAGCATATAGATTCAATGCAATCCTTATCAAACTACCAGTGGTATTTTTCACAGAAAGAATAATTTCACAATTTGTATGGAAACACAAAAGACCTGAATAACCAAAGCAATCTTGAGAAAGAAGAATGGAACTGGAGAAATCAACCTTCCTGATTTCAGACTATACTGCAAAGCTACAGTCATCAAGATAGCATGGTACTGTTACAAAAACAGAATTATAGACCAATGAAACAAGATAGAAAGCCCGGAGATAAATCCATACACCTATGGGCACCTTATCTTTGACAGAGGAGGCAAAAATATACAATGGAGAAAAGACAGTTTCTTTGATAAGTAGTGCTGAGAAAACTGATCAGCTGTGTGTAAAAGAATGGAATTAGAACAATTCCTAACACCATACATATAAATAAAATGGATTAAAGACATAAATGTAAGACCAGAAACTTTAAAACTCTTACAGGAAAACATAGGAAGAACACTCTTTGACATAAATCACAGCAAGATCCTCTATGGCCCATCTCCTAGAGTAATGGAAATAAAAACAAAAATAAACAAATAGGACCTAATTAAACTTAAAAGCTTCTGCACAATGAAGGAAACTAAGCAAAGTGAAAAGACAATCCTCAGAATGGGAGAAAATAAAGCAAATAAAACAACTGACAAAGAATTAATCTCTAAAATATACAAGCAGCTCAGGCAGCTCAATACCAGAAAAACAAACAACCCAATCAAAAAGTGGGCAGAAGACCTAAAAAGACATTTCTCCAAAGAAGATATACAGATGGCTAATAGATGAAAAGATGTTCAATATCACTCATTATTAGAGAAATGCAAAGCAAAGCTACAATGAGCTATCATCTCACACTGGTCAGAATGGCCATCATCAAAAAGTCTACAAACAATAAATACTGCAGAGAGTGTGGAGGAAAAGGAACCCTCTTGCACTGTTGGTGGGAATGCAAATTGATATAGCCAGTATGAAGAGTCCTTAAAAAACTAGGAATAAAACTACCATATGGCCCAGCAATCCCATTACTGGGCATATACCCTGAGGAAACCATAATTGAAAAAGACCCATGTATCCCAACGTCCACTGGAGCATTATTTACAACATCTAGGACATAGAAGCAACCTAGATGTTATCTACAGATGAATGGATAAAGAAGTTTTGGTATATATGCACAATGGAATATTACTCAGCTATAAAAAGGAATGCACTTGAGTCAGTTCTAATGAGGTTAATGAACCTAAAGCCTGTTATACAGAGTGAAGTAAATCAGAAAGATAAAGACAAATATGGAATCTAGAAAGAAGATAGTACTGATGATTCTACTTGCAGGGCAGCAAAGGAGATGCAGACATAAAGAATGGACTTTTGGACACAGTGGGGAAGGAGAAGGTGGGATGATTTAAGAGAACAGCATTGAAACATATGCATTGCCTTATGTAAAATAGACTCCCAGTGGGAATTTGCTGTATGACACAGGGAACCCAAAGCTGGTGCTTTGTAACAACTTAGAGGGATTACGATGGAGAGGAGGTGGGAGGGAGTTTCAAGAGGGAGGGGACCTATGTATACCTGATTCATGTTAACGTATGGCAGAAACCATCACAAAACTATAAAGAAATTATCCTCTAATAAAAATATTTATTTCCCAAATAACTAATAATAATTGTTATAAATTATGAAATATTTATAATTCAATTAAAATCAGGAATTGGACAGATATGCTGATAATCAGCACTATTGTTTAATACTGTCTTAAACATAATAATGTAATAAGACAAGAAAAAGAAATTACAATATTATAAATTTTTAATAGCAATACAGGCTATAAAATACTTAATAAATGTAACAAGACACAGAACCTGTATCAAGAACCACTCTCAAGTTTGGTTGAATGGATTTTAAAAAGATCATGTTTTTAAGTTTCTAACTGGACTTCAGAGTCCAATTTTTCAT